CTTCCATCGGTGACTCTCTTCACCAACTCATCTATTTCTCCATTTCTTTCCTCAGGCCATCATTTCCCTCATTTTATTTTCTCTATTTTGATTTGTATTTCAATTTACGAATTACGGCCGGTCGAAATGGAAGATATGGAAGGACATGAAATTGATTTTGCTCCGGTTACTCCCCAGGAGCTGAGAGAGTGAGAGACAGGGTGGTAATGGTTGCTTGTAGGCGGCGGTCGGTTTCTGCGGACTGCGGCAGCTTGATCTATTCACGTCGGATGATCAGTATCCTCACTCTCTCACCAAATTTTTTCATTAAAAAAAGTCACCACACGCTATATGCCCTGCTCAACAGTCATCGTTCAGCACCCATGTGTTTATCTCTGTTTTTTTTTTTTCAGTTTCTCATTTCTTCCATTCATCCATAACCCATCTCCGTATCTCCCAATCTCACTTTTTTTTCTCACTCTTTTTTCTTCTTTCGTTTCTTTACTCCACTACCTTCTTTATTTTCATCTTTTTGGCTTTCTTTGGAGATCCACTCTAAAATCCTTCAGAGCATGGCTCATTTCTTTGAAGGATCTTTAAAAGTTTTAGTTACGATACTTTTTAGGAAAATTTATAATCCAGATCTGGGAATTAAAGAAATCGAAAATTGAAAGTAAAATAACTAAATTAACTGTACTCTAGTTCTTGGCCTGCTTATGAAGAAGAAGAAGAAGAAGGTAAGCAACACATGGAGTTTAAAGCGAATTAAAGGTGAGTGGTAATGAAAATTTTGGGAAATTGAAGGAAAGAGACGGTCAACATTTGTCAGACAAGAGTTCAGAAAAGGGAGGGTAAGATAGGAAGAAAATGTCTATGGCTTAGTTTCTTAATCTTTGTGCCCGTTTGTATGTTTCATTCTTTTCTGAACAGAGGAAGTATTTGGTGGAGAGGACATGGGAGAGTATTACGTTGCATGGAGGTGGACTCATTCATGGAGGTTGACTCGTGCATGGATGATTTATTTGAGAGAGAGGGTGTAGGAGTTTCTAACGTGGTGGAGAATTTGGGTGGAGAGACATTATTGGTCAAATTATTTGTGGGGAAATTACGGATAGGGGAAGTATAGGTTAATTTGTCGGTGGATATCCGGGTGGGTAGAGAAGAATTAGACAGGGAATTAATTGTTGGAGATTTAGGTGGGGATAATTTAAAATAGTGGACCGAGTGTTATCGGTTTGACTGGGGGGAAGGCAGTACGTATATCGTGGTATCGGTGCATGGTGAGCATCATGCTCTCGAGCCATGGCTATATGAAATGTAACTCGTGTGAATTGGGATGTAACTTCATGTTAATCAAAATGTAAATTACACGCATTCATATGTAACTCGTTGAAATGTAAACTGCTTTAATTGAAATGTAACTTGGAAACAAATTAGATGTAACTTGAAATATGTAATTTTAGGCTATTCAAACGTAAAACGTTTTTACCGAGATGTAATTTAACTTCAAGTATTAATTAATATATATAAACCATGTTAACTAAAATGTAAATGATGTTAATTAACTAAAATGTAACTTGATTTAAAAAAAATGTAAATTCTATTTCTATTGATGCAACTTCTCAAAATCGTCTCTCCATTGATCTGGCGACACTTGAGCAATTATCATTCGGAGTGGCCATCCTCCATATCCTATGGTTCAATTATCTTTCACTTCTGAGGTCAAGACAATGAATCATCATAAGGAATATTGACCACTGGCATCCGAATCTCAAACCAAGCAAGGACAGATCTCACCGGCAACAACAACACTACAACTGGAGCTCCTGCTGACCAGCGACGGACCAAACCGCTCTCAAATCTGCGAACTAGAGGTTATTTGATTTCACAACCCAGATGCGACAACCAGGCAATCGCGAGCAAGACAGCCGGACTACGTTCCACTAGCTTCAGAACAGATTGCGACAACTGAAACCTAGGGAGGGCGTTGTCGGAGGGTGTTCCATTAGCTACGGAGGTTTTGTGATTTTTAAAGACAAACGACGGCGTTTTGGGACCGGGCACACCATCATCATGGTGCGGTGGTCGAAGGGTATAGTTTGTGGGGGAAGGAGAATTTGAATTTTAAATTTGATGAGAGGCGGTCCAGCCGTCCAAGGAGTTAGTTGAGGTGGGCTAGGATTTCGTGTAAGAGTGAGATAAGGAAATATGCTCTCAACAAAAACCACATGTCGAGATACATATATTGATATATACGGGAGGTTTTAGGGTTATAACAAAAATAAGCACTTTGAGTAAGAGAATAACCAAGAAAAATACATGGAACAGATCGGGGTTGTAGTTTATGTTGGGTATATGGCCGAATCCAGGGTAGCATAGGCACCCGAAAATTCGCAGTTTGTGATAATTAGGGGTTACACAGTAAAGGTATTTGTAAGGAGAAGAATAATTAAGGGTGCATGTGGGAAGTCGGTTGATAAGGTAAACAGCAGTGGGAAGAGCATAGGACCAATATTCGGGTGGTAGAGATGTGTGATGCAGTAGGGTTAGGTCAGTTTCAAATCTTTCAATAAACAGATGTGTAACACCCGGGCCCCACCGGACCCGAGGTAGTTACTCCGGACCAATAGTACTGTCCCCACAAACCTCCACGAGCCTTTACCGCGCACTTTGTCCTCACTCATGCGCGCCCTGAGAAACTTCCCAGGGGGGTCACCCATCCCAAGACTACTCTCGTGCAAGCACGCTTAACTTTGGAGTTCTTGGGTGATGAGCTCTTTTAAAAGGAGATGCACCTCTATTGGTATGAGTAGTATTATTAATCCTTTTATATTAATCTTGGGTATTACAATCACCCCCACTTAGGAACGCAACGTCCTCATTGCGCCCATAAACCAATCTCAAATCTCAATCAAATCCCAGAATCTTCCCCCGCTAAGTGCCCGCCCGAATCCAATGGGTCAACACACTGTCGCAGGGTTGCTTTGATACCACCTGTAACACCCCGGCCCTGCAGGACCCGAGTTAGTTACTCTAGTTTCAATTTATTTGCCCCTTTTTTCTAGTTTATATTCAACTTGTAGAGGTGAGCCTGATAAAAATGAAGGTGAGTCACCCTCATTTTTGTACTACCTCCGTCCCAAAATTAACTTCTCGTTCGGTTTACGATGCTTGACTGACGATAAAGCAACTCGATCCCTGCTCACACTCGGATTATTTTTAGTAAATAAAATTTACATATTCAGAAACTACATTAAAGCGCTACAAAGCCTGATCAATAAAATTTAAATTTGATAAAAATTTGATATAAAAAGTAAAAGGTTACGAGTGATTCAAGTTGACCAATGAATAGTAACTGTGAAGTTGTTTTTGGGACGGGGGGAGTAATATAGAAAAGTGTGAAACTTCTGTTCAATCCATTCTCCCAGCCCAAAATTAAATTAGTGGCCCAAATACCCAATCAGACACACTCACACACGTGCTACTCCAATTCTCCAAATCTAGGATGCAGCCGCGCTGACTCCACCGCAGAATCGCTAATAGGCAATTGAAACGGCCAATCGCTGCTCCGGTGACTGTTCGCTCACTTCGCTGGTACTAGTAGGCCATCGGACGGTCGGAGCACGGCGCCTGAGAAATGAACACCTCTAACCTCAATTCTCTTTCTCTAGTATTACAGCTTATACTTCAACTTGTAGAGGTGAGCCTGATAAAAATAAAGGTGAGTCACCCTCATTTTTGTACTACCTCCGTCCCAAAATTAACTTCCCGTTCGGTTTACGATGGTTGACTGACGATAAAGCAACTCGATCCCTGCTCACACTCGGATTATTTTTAGTAAATAAAATTTACATATTCAGAAACTACATTAAAGCGCTACAAAGCCTGATCAATAAAATTTAAATTTGATAAAAATTTGATATAAAAAGTAAAAGGTTACAAGTGATTCAAGTTGACCAATGAATAGTAACTGTGAAGTTTTTTTGGGACGGGGGAGTAATATAGAAAAGTGTGAAACTTCTGTTCAATCCATTCTCCCGACCCAAAATTAAATTAGTGGCCCAAATACCCAATCAGACACACTCACACACGTGCTACTCCAATTCTCCAAATCTAGGATGCAGCCGCGCTGACTCCACCGCAGAATCGCTAATAGGCAATTGAAACGGCCAATCGCTGCTCCGGTGACTGTTCGCTCACTTCGCTGGTGCTAGTAGGCCATCGGATGGTCGGAGCACGGCGCCTGAGAAGTGAACACCTCTAACCTCAATTCTCTTTCTCTAGTATTACAGTTTATACTTCAACTTGTAGAGGTGAGCCTGATAAAAATGAAGGTGAGTCACCCTCATTTTTGTACTACCTCTGTCCCAAAATTAACTTCCCGTTCGGTTTACGATGGTTGACTGACGATAAAGCAACTCGATCCCTGCTCACACTCGGATTATTTTTAGTAAATAAAATTTACATATTCAGAAACTACATTAAAGCGCTACAAAGCCTGATCAATAAAATTTAAATTTGATAAAAATTTGATATAAAAAGTAAAAGGTTACGAGTGATTCAAGTTGACCAAGAATAGTAACTGTGAAGTTGTTTTTGGGACGGGGGAGTAATATAGAAAAGTGTGAAACTTCTGTTCAATCCATTCTCCCGGCCCAAAATTAAATTAGTGGCCCAAATACCCAATCAGACACACTCACGCACGTGCTACTCCAATTCTCCAAATCTAGGATGCAGCCGCGCTGACTCCACCGCAGAATCGCTAATAGGCAATTGAAACGGCCAATCGCTGCTCCAGTGACTGTTCGCTCACTTCGCTGGTGCTAGTAGGCCATCGGACGGTCGGAGTACGGTGCCTGAGAAGTGAACACCTCTAACCTCAATTCTCTTTCTCTAGTATTACAGTTTATACTTCAACCGGGTCTAAGTAATATAAATGATGCTCACTCATTAGCTCCTACTTCAAGTAAATAGGATTATAAAATAAGGCCCAGTCTAAATTAAAAAAAAAACGGCTAAATATAGAACAGCCCGTCATTCATCCGCACCGCACTAGACCTTTACAGTTTTATGCGAAGCCCAAAATTGAAAATCCCAAATCAGAATTATCCAGCACCGCTCTCTTTCTGCTTCGGCTTCTATCTGCTTCTTCGTCGAGTTGTGCAAAACCCCCAAATAACCAATCCCAATTCTCAACCTAGCAATCGCAGCAGGCCTCTTCGGCTCCTCCATCTTGCTGCCGGGAGGACGGCTCAGCCGCTATTCATCAAGGTAAATTAATCCTAAGATTAAAATTTTAATTTCAGCTTGTGTTGAAGTTTTTTGACCTAGGTGGCTAGTTCCAGATTTAATTACTGATAATGTATGCTCAAAACTTGATATTTGTTCCATTGTTTAGTATTCTGATTGATAACTCGTGATAATATGACTGGAAATGTCGTTTAAAACTCATTATATAATGATTACAAATCCATTGTGCTAAAAACTTGATGTTAAAAACTTATCATATGATTGTGATTTGTGTGGATGAATATTAATCTTATTAGTATTGAACTAGTAAACTATTAAATTAGTATCATTTTTAGTATTAATGTCATTATTTGGACGTTTAGTATTAATATGATTGTAGTTTTTGAGAGTATTAATCTAATTGTTTAGCATTAATCCCATTAGCTTCTGTTAGTAATAGTCCTATAGTTTCGAATATAGACTGTTTTACGATTGTGTAACTCATGATCAAGCTACATCTTTTAAATCTGTATTTGAAAACCCCAACATTTATGGACTTGTGATGCTTTTTTTTAACCTGGGGGATAAAAAATGCATTCTTGTAAGCATCAATAATATAATATTTATGTTAATATTTATTTTTTATGCAATTGGAATTATATTATGTATATGAAAATTTTGGCCCCACCTGAATTGAAATGCTAGATCCGCCCCTGACTTCAACCGGGTTTAAGTATCTCCTTCTCTAGTATTACATTCATACTAGTTACATTTTTATGATTTCATTAACTAATGCCCGATGTAGTATTACAAAAGATTGCAGTAGATTCCAGTTTAACATCTAAATGCCTTTTTCAGTTTATTATCTTGAGATGATTTCGTTGAGTGTTGACTTTTTTAAAATCGAAGGAATAACTCTAGCACAAGGTTTATTGCTTTCAGCTGTAGTGCTGACTGATTTATTAAATAAAGCTTGCTTCTGATCTATGATCAATAAAAAGAACCATTCTCTTAATGATTAATTGTAATTTCTGTGTAGCTTTGCGATTTTGCAATTGTGTTCTTTTGTCTGCTTTATAGTCTTCATAGTTTGGGTGCTCAACAGAATCTGCATTTGGGTAATTGGAAAATGGCGAGTGCTTTAGCAAGTAAGGCAGCATTGGGGGATCGAATGTCTGCCTTATTCAGGCTGTCTTGCAGCTCCTTGAGATATTTGAGCACCTCTCCCAACCCAGCGGTTGCACCTGAACTGAAGAAGCCAAATCTGAAAAAGAAGAAGAAGAAGAACCTCTTTGAGGTGGTGCAGTTCTTGCCAAACTGGGGAATCGGCTATCAATTGGCTAAAACTCACTGGACCGATGTTTCCTATCGAATCACCAAGATTAATCTTTACAAGGTAACTATATTCTTTCACGATTTTGAGCTGTATTATCTGGCTTTTTGATATATTTTAGCATTAATATTTCTACTCATGGGACTATTGCAGAGTGGAACACACGGAAAGGCTTGGGGCATTGCTCATAGAGATGGTTCGTTACTTGTCTGATTGTTTTTTTATATTCAAATTTTACTTTTTTCATGAATATTATCTTATCAACATATCATATCATGTAAGGAATATCAGTAGATGTTCTACATGGTTTTAGAAAGGCTTTTTTGAGCCACTCTCCTGGCTGCTCATCTCAAAGGTGAATAAAGGTTTGAGACTGCGAATGAACCGAGTCTTTAGCCTCTCATGGTTGAGGCGTTTCTGAAGCTTAAGCCTTGGTTAGGCTAGATACGTTTTAGTAAAATTATATTGAATCTATTGTTTTCCAAAAAAATGGTCACTAAGCCTTAAAATATATTTTCCAAATCAACAATTATCATCACGCAGCTATACCTATAAAATTAAAATAACCGACAAGGCTAAAACTACTCTGAACTCCTGCAGAAGACTGAACATTTCGTGTTAAGTTCCTGAAGAAAGAACTACTCCGTATATTAAATCCAGTTATTTTTATCTTTTGATTCAAAAGTAGCAGTAGAAGTAACAACTTTTCTAACTTTTCTTTGTATTCAATTTGTTCCAGAATATCAAAAGTTCAAGGCTCCAGCTATTTCTTCTATGTTTTTCTCAGTTGAACAACTGTTTCAATTTTCTTTGGGACAATAAATCTTAAATACTTTTCAAAACTTATGATCATGGCCTGGTGGCACTTTTATATGATTCATTTGTATGTATAAATTTATAATTGATAACATTTTTTAGATTATCAGTTTTTTGAAATGTAAATGAAATTTTGCATAAGGTTTGAGGGTTAGGCCTCAAACCGCCTCGTGCCTTGCACATTGCCTCACAACTGCAAATAGTCTCAAGGCTTAAAAGCGCCTTTCTGAACTTTGATGCTCAGTAAGGAGGAATGCTTAAGCTATTGATAAACCAGTGATGTGATCATGTGATTGAAAATGTTGATTTTGTAACAGATCATTGGAAGTCGTGATCCTGCAAGAGTCATCATTACACTCATTTGTTTACTTTGCAATACTTATGGGGCTTTCTTGCATACTCTTGCCCTTTTCTTTTTGGTTATTAGATGTTCTTACACTTTCCTGATCTTCAATTACGATTTCTTGTATATTCTATGATCATGTACTATATGATATGCACAGGCAGTCCGATTGCCGAAGCACCCAAGAAAATCAGCGGGGTCAACAAACGCTGCTGGAGATACATACCAAACTCACACAAAGCTGAAGAATGCACCCCGAAGCACGAAGTTCAGTCTGCCTAGTTTCGCTCATATCCTTCTTGGACCAACTGCATTATTGCTCATGACTTTGAAAGTGGTGTGTGTGTATTGGAATTTTATACAGGAATTGCCTCATAAAATGGAGCCCTTAGCAATCAGATTTTATTGGTGTTTGGTCTTTATTAGTATTAGAAATGAATAACTAAGCATACTTGTTGTGACGCTCTTTTCAAGAAAAAGCCATTGTTCATAATTGGGAATTTGGGATTGCATTGGAAAAAGTATCATCCGCATCATCTTCTCAATTTTTGGATCACATCATAATTAAAGATGCGCCTTGTTGCTCTTGTGAATGTACATTGGTTTTAGCTTTCGTAGATTGCATATTACTTGTTGGCAGCTGTTTTTTCTCCCCTTCTCTGCTTCCCACTAAAGTTCTCATTGGTAAATTGGGTTGTCATGGTTAAAAATTATAAATATTATTCCATTGGTAAGAGTATCTGTTTAGCATTATAGTAGATATTTAGATGTAAAATTACTAAAATGCGTATAACTAGGATATGAATAAATGAATAATGTTTATAATTTTTTAATAGTGCTAAAAGTAATAAGATTGGAACTACAAAATCTTACAACTGAGAAAGTACTTAACCCTATTTAAAATATTGGTCTAAAATGATTATATCTGTTGAGACTTATTCTCGTAGATCCGAAAGCCTAACACCAACTTTGGATATTAAGGATGATGGGTTTGGTATAGAAGTGTTTAAAATATAAAAGGTGAATAAGATGCATTCGAAAGCCTGCTTGTATTACAGTAATACGCTGATTACACATAATAGGCCGAACGGCGTTTCGGAACAGTGACTAATACAAGAACTGGAGTGATAATTCTATCTAAGGTTCTGAGTATCAAAATGCTAACCTCTTACAATGAAGTTAATGTGCCTATTTATACTAGAAAGGGGGTAGATGGGGTGATGAATGATGATGTGGTCGAATCTGTTTGGCTAGCCTTCCGGGTAAAAAAAAACTGTTTGGCTATTGCCGTTGCCACTTGGGCATTCATGCTTCCACTTGTTACTGTCATACTTTAGCATTCGATGCAGCTTGCCACTTGCGGACTCCCCGATCGGCCTCTAGACTCCTCAGGTTGATGGACAAGGCTGATGCTTTATTTGCTTCAAGTAGGATAATTGGTCCGTTCGGGACATGCCGAACGGTGTCTCTTTCGACGGCTCAGTTCCCGTTCGGGATCTCATGAATCTAGTCTGAGTTCCCTTTGGGCTTGCTCTGTTCCTTGGGCCCTTAGCTACTTTGGGCCGGGTATTGGGCTTCGGCCCAATATCCCAACAATATCAAAAGTAAAATAATGTTATGTAAGCAAGCAATCAACATCAATAAAATGATTGCATAATATGCATACGTGTTTACCTCCATCTAAGAAGTCAGACCTCAAGAACTTTGTGAAAATTAATTCTCAGACAAAAGATTCAATCGTTGATGAACAAAGCTACAGAGTGTTTCTTAGAGAAGAGAATAGCGCGTCGAATGAAAAATACAAATGAATGTCTTAACCTAAAACTATAAACTACAGAGGGTATTTGTACATTATTACATAATATGCAATAAAGCCCAAAAATAACATATAGGCCCAAAACTCTAGAGCTGAGCAAGTCCCGTCCAAGTTCTTTATTCTTGATATGCCCCCTCAAGAGGAGCATGGATGTCTAACATGACTGCAAACTGGCTGAACAAAGGATTTCCAAGCGGTTTTGTATAAATATCTGCAAGTTGAAAATTATTCTTAATATGAATCAGAGTAACTAATCTAGAATTAATTTTTTTCTCTAACTAAATGACAATCCAGTTCTATGTGTTTGCTTCTTTGATGTTGAATGGGATTATGAGCAAGATGATAGGTAGATTTGTTATCAGTGTAAATAATTATTGGTAAAGAAATAGGTATATGTAAATCATTAAAGAAGTAAGATAACCATTGAGCCTCACAGACTGCATTAGCAGCAGCCCTATATTCTGCTTCACTATAAGATCTACTGATAACCTGTTGTTTCTTAGATTTCCAAGAAATTAAAGAATTTCCAAGGTAGAAAGCATAACCTGAAACACTTCTCCTAGTGTCTACACAAGCTGCCCAGTCTGAGTCAGTGTAGCCTTGAATAGAAAAATCAGAATTACAAGGATAAAGTAAACCTTTACCTGGAGAATTCTTTAGGTATGAGAACCCTATGAGCTGCACTTATATGAACATCAGTAAGGAGAAGCAAGAAATTGACTAAGAACTTGTACACTATGAGCAATATCAGGCCTAGTTAATGTTAAGTAAAGTAGTTTACCAATAAGAGTTCTATACGTTTTAGGATTTTCTAAAACAGTTCCATCATTTTTAGATAGTTTTATTTTGGAATCCATAGGAGTACTATAAGGTTTAGAATGAAGATAACCATATTCAGTTAAAATATCTAGAGTGTATTTTCTTTGACAAAGATTTATACCTTTATTAGATCTTGCAATTTCAATTCCTAAAATATATTTTAATTCTCCAATATCTTTAATAGTGAATTTGTTATTTAAAAAAGTTTTAACTGCAGTGATTTCTTCCATACTGTTTCCAGCAAGAATTATATCATCTACATATATTAAAAGTACAGTAAGAGAGGTAGTAGTGATTTTAGTGAATAAAGAGAAATCAGCTTGAGACTGTGTGTAACCAAAGAGTTTAAGAGAATCATAAAGCTTACAAAACCACTGTCTAGATGCTTGTTTAAGACCATAGAAACTCTTAACAAGCTTGCAGATTCTGTTATCAGCAGAAGGCAAATAACCTGGAGGAGGCTGCATAAAAATATCTTCATTTAAGTCACCATGTAAAAAGGCATTGTTTACATCAAGTTGATGTAAAAACCAGTTTTTAGCACTAGCAATAGCCAAAACAATTCTGACAGTTGTTAATTTAACAACATGGGAGAAAGTATCAAAATAATCAAAACCTTCTTCTTGAGTATAACCTTTAGCTACCAATCTGGCTTTATATCTATCTAAAGAGCCATCAGGTTTTTGTTTTGTTTTAAAAACCCATTTACAACCAATAATATTTTGATTAGGAGGTTGAACTAAAACCCAAGTATTATTATTTTCTAAAGCTTGAATTTCATTTGACATGGCCTTCTGCCATTCAGGGAATTTGGCAGCATGCTTATAGGTTTTAGGTTCAGTAAGTTTTGAAAGAGCAGCAGTAAAAAAAGAATGAGAAAGACCTAACCTATTGGATGTTATATGATTTTTAATAGGATATCTAATAATATTACATGAAGAAGAAGAAGAAGGAGAAATACCTGCAGTGATTGAGTTAGGTAATTCATAATTGTAATCTTGAAGGTGAATAGGTATAGATCTTACTCTGGTGGATTTTCTGTGACGCTGCTCCTCTGAAACAGTGTTATTATTAATAGTAGAAGTATGTATATTCATAGTATTGATTTCCTCATTGATCTGATTATTTAAATAATGATTAGAAGCTATACGATTTTCATAAGTGTAAGCATCAGAATTAGAAGAATCTAAAACAAAATCAGAATGCATATGATTAGAAGAATCAGAATGCACATGATTAGAAGAATCAGAATTACTTTTGTAAGGGAAAATTCATTTCATAAAAATTAACATTTGTTGATATAAAAAATTTGTGATTAGAAATATCATATAATTTATATCCTTTGGATCTAAGAGGATACCCAATAAAAACACATTTGATAGCCCTTTTGTCAAATTTTGACCTATCAGCAGACAAAGTAGATGCATAAGCAAGAGAACCAAAAACCCTGAGATGAGAATAATCAGGCACCTTACCATATAATTATTCATAGGGAGATCTATTATTAAGAATAGAACTAGGAATTCTATTTATAATATGCACAGCAGTAAGAATGCAATCAGACAAAAAATGAGAGGTAAACAAGACTGAAACAAAAGAGATCTGGCAACTTGAAGAATATGCTGATGTTTTCTTTTAACCCTAGCATTTTGCTGAGGGGTTTCTACACAAGATAATTGATGAATAATGCCATTATCAGTATAGAATGAAGGAAAAATAAATTCAGTCCCATTATCAGTTCTAATAATTTTTATTTTAGTATGAAATTGAGTAAGAATCAGATTGTGAAAATTCAACATATGAAATTTAACTTCAGATTTGTTTTTCATCATGAGAACCTATGTGCATCTAGTATGATCATCAACAATAGTTAAAAAATATTTGAAACCAGAATAAGATTCAGTTCTAAAAGGACCCCAAACATCCATATGCACAAGATCAAAAGCATGTAAAGCATAAGAAGTACTATTAGGAAAAGGTAATTTCTTTTGCTTGGCAAAATGACAAATATCACAGAAAGTTTTTTTATTCATATGATGATGAAGATTACAATTGACAAGAGAGCTCAGATTATGGAAAGGTAAATAACCTAGTCTATAATGCCAAATATCAGATGGAGAATCTGAATTTGAACTATAAACAATATTAGCAACAAAAGGTTTATTTGTTGACATGGAGGATTCAGAGGGATTATAAAGGTATAGACCACTTTTAAGATCAGCATAACCAATCATTTGGTTGGTGAGAATATCCTGCAAAGTAGCATGATTAGAAGAAAAATGAACAGAAATATTTTCATGAAGAACAAGACTGGAAATAGATATGAGATTAAAATTAAACTGTGGAACATATGACACATTATGTAAAGTGAATTTGTTATTTAGTTTAATATCACCAATATGAGTACGAGTAATAAAAGTTCCAATAGGTAACTGAACATTAATAGAAACAGTTTTAGGATAAGAAGTATACAAGTTGAAGTTATGAGCCATATGATCAGAAGCCCCAGTGTCCAAAATCCAAATAGAAGATTGAACACTAGATATAAAAGCAGAATGATTACCAATGAAATGAGAATTATGAGAAGACTGATCAGGAGCATTAGGAGCAGTCATGGCAATATGAGCAGAAGCCGAAGTAGGTTTGTCAGTCTGAGTCTTCATAAACTCAAGGAAGTTGTTGTACAAAGATGGATCACACAAGTCCAAGTCAGCAGAAGAAGATTCATTTGAAGTATTGGCTAGGTGAGCATGAGTATTTTTAGCAGATGTTGATGGAAACTTGAAACCAGGAGCAGTCCTTTGTCCTTTAGGTCCTTTCCAAGTAGGAGGATAGCCAATGACTTGGAAACATTTGTCAGCAGAATGACCTAGATAACCACAGTGAGTACAAGTAACAGAAGATTTTTTCTTGTAGGTGGAATTTTTGACAAAGAAGGCAGTGGAATCAGCAATAGATGAGGGATCAGAAGGAAAAGGAACAGAGTTAACAGGATGTTGAAGTGTTCTTTGAGACTC